GAGAGAGAGAGAGAGAGAGAGAGAGAGAGAGAGAGAGAGAGAGAGAGAGAGGGAGAGGGGTGTGGAGGTCTTAACTGAGTTTCAGAAGTCAGTGCTCTTAACCTCTGAGCCGTCTCTCTGGTGCTTCTCTTCTGTATTTGAGATAGGGCCTTCTTACATAGCTCAGGCTAGCTTAGAACTGTAGCAGAGCTTTGCAGCTGATTTGATTCCGGAGCGTTAGCACCTGGGCTTTGGTCTGCCTTGTGTGACTGCTGCCTTTTGTGTCCACTACCTTATGTTTGAAGTATGCAAATCTTACCTGAGTTTCCTAAAGGTTCAAAGTCTATACAAAAACTTGGTTGCAGAAGAACTTGGAAAACTAAGAGATTCTGTGGCTAATTCCTTTGTGGCGCTTCAGAGAAGAGGTTTTGGTATGTGGAAACTGACTTGCTAAGGTGAAAATTGTATAACAATAAAAAAGCCTTTTGCAAAGCTACAGTCAGTTTACCAGAAGCTGAGTCTCTGCAGCCCCAAGGCTAAAAGTCATCCTAGAGTGACCTTGTTTCTTCCACTGACCTGTGTGAACCAAAAACCCGACACAACATAGAACTCTCCATCCTCCTGCCTCTGCCTTCTGAGGACGGGGATTATAGATGCATATCACCACACCTGGCCCAGTTTTGGAGTCCTCCCCACTCCAAGAAGATACAGCCTTTAGTTGAGTAATAAAAATATCTTTATATCCAGAGGTTTTTAAATTTTTTTAATTTTTTACTTTTTAAAAATTTTTTACTCTTTTGGGACCAGGTATTGAACCCAGGGTCTCATGCTTGTAGGCAAGGTTACCACTGAGCTATATTTCCAGCCTTCTTTTTACTTTACTTAATTTATTTATTACTAGGTTCCCCAGGCAGGCCTTGAACTTGGGATCTTCCTGCCTCAGCCTCCAGAGTAGCTGGAATAGCAGGTCTATGCCATTAGACCCAATTTCTTCTAGTTGTTCTCTCTCTCTCTCTCTCTCTCTCTCTCTCTCTCTCTCTCTCTCTCTCTCTCTCTCTCCCAACAAATATATTTCATTTATTTTAATTGTATGTACACTCTTCTAAGTGTTAATGTGTTAGAGGCTTAGATTTGGGGTGACCACCCTAACCTATAGAGATCAGGAAATATCACTTAGTGCAACCCTTTGATTTTATCATGGAGGATTCAGGCCCAGACTTGACTTTTTACTCCAGCTCAGGGTTGGAAGTGGGCTGTGTGTCTCTCAGCCCATGGTGCTGTACTTGCACTGGGACCAGGTAATGCCCCTGATGCTTCTGTGAGGCTGCTGTGGCTTTGCACTCTGTTCCTGGCCTGAAGAACCCAGATGGCTTTGAGATTTCAGAGCATGTTTTTCCTTGTTTCAGGTGACATCTGTGTACTGACATGACAGGTCTAGGGCAAACTGCAGTACCTGCTCTAGAAGACCACAATGTGACACAAAATCCGGGCCATCTAGTCTCACTTGGGGACCAGTCTGTCTGTGTGTGTTAAATTTTGGTGTGTTCATCCACCAGAGCAGATGGGCTTTTCTCCTCCATCAGTTAATAGGGACCTACTAACTACAGATGGCCCCTTTGTAGGGAGAGAGACCTGGTTGTCCCTTGTCTGGTAGATGAAATGGCAATGACTCAGGAAAGGGCATGATGAAGCCAGCTGTCTCTGTCATCCGCTGGCATCTTGGAACTTGAAGCCAGAGGGACTACTCAATTCCAGTATCTTATTCTTAGAGAACAGTGAGTGGCAGTGGAGAGAGCAGGTCCTTCCTGCACTGACTGGCCTCTGGGGAGGGAGAGGCCACCTTCTCAGCTGCACTCCCAGGTTGTCTCTCTGCATGTGTCCTGCTTATATTGGCCCCTCCTGAGAACCAACACCTTTTTTTAAAATCACAAGTGATACCCACTGTGTGTACCAGAAGGACAACTCCTGGTGCTTTTATAGACTGTTGTGTCCCAAGTTAGGCTTGGACCAAGCTGAAAGCCACAAAGGTAGGCTGTGTAGGAAACAGACCCCCGAATCAGGGAACAATGCTGACAGTTGTGACAGCTAGTGAGAGCTCAGAGTGCATAGAATCACCTCACAGACGCTGCTGCATCTGTGAGACCCAGGATGGCACTTGCGAGTTAGTACTGAGGCCACGCTGGGACCACACTTGAAACAACCTGGAGACCCCCAGCCCATAGGCCTCAGCATCTAATGCCAGGAAGATGCTTTCCTGACTGGTTTCCTCTGTTCAGCTCACAGAACAATGGAACTGAGGGGTGCTAAATGATACCCACTCTCCAGAACATTACAGAAGTTTCTCCCAAGTCTACCCAGGGCTGACCCTTAGCTTCTGCATCTTCTCTGAGGACTGTCCCCATCAGGACAGGGGAGTGGCTTTCAGGGAACACCTCAGTGTCCCCTGGCAAGTCTTGCCCCTCTGCCTCTCAGCTACTTGCAGCTGTTTGCTCTACAGGTAGCAAGCTGAGACCTCAGAAGTCCTGACAGCAGGCTGGAGAGATGGCTCAGTGGTTAAGAGCACTGACTGCTCTTCCAGAGGACCTGTGCTTAATTCCCAGCACCCACGTGGCAGCTCACAACTGTCTGTGATTCCAGTTCCAGGGGACCTGACACACAGCAAAATACCAATGCACATAAAAATAATAAAAATATTAAAAAAAAAAAGAAAGAAATCCTGGCTGCTCTACCCCTCCACCATCACCATCCCATCTCCACTACCTCCATGGTAATTTATCCAGTGACCATAGGTACTCCACACATGCTGTTTAGAGTGGTGTTAAGGTTGGACATGAAATGCTCTCCCTTCAAGGAACCATTTTTAGGTTAGTTTTATTTCCTGTTAACTTCATCTGAATTTTATTTTTTGTGGTACTGGGGATTGAAGAATTGAACCTGGGACCTTGAATGTGTTTGGTAAGTACTCTACCACTGGACTATATGACCAATGTTTCAAAGACCAATGTTTGAGATGGTCTTAGTGTATCCTTGAACTTGAGGCCTCAGCCTCCTACATGCTGAGAGTACAGCTGTGTACTACCCCTGTCTGCACATAATTGTGAATTAGCAGCTAGAACACAGTTATTAATTCCCAGGTTTTTGTTTTTTGTTTTTTGTTTTTTTCTTTGAGACAGGGTTTCTCTGTGTAGCTTTGTGCCTTTCCTGGAACTCACTTGGTAGCCCAGGCTGGCCTCGAACTCACAGAGATCCACCTGGCTCTGCCTCCTGAGTGCTGGGATTAAAGGTGTGCGCCACCACCGCGTGGCTTGTTTTGTTTTTTGTTTTTAAAGACAGGATCTTAATATGTATGTAGCCCTGGCTATCTTGGAACTCATCATGTAGACCAGGCTGGCCTTGAACTCACAGAGATCCACCTGCCTCTGCCTCTGGAGTGTTGGAATTAAAGGCGTGCTCCACTGTGCCTGGCTTCAATGTTTCATTTTAGGACAGGGTTTTATGTAACCCAGCTTACCTATCTTGACCTGACTTCACCTCATGATGCTAGCATTACAAGTGCCATGCCGCTGGAGTGGGACTTCCCTGTTGATTGGAGGTTGCACTTGAGGGAGCATCTCTCTAAAGATGGTTGTCATCAACCTGCCGTTCAGTCCTTCCAGTCATAGCAAATGTACCCACACCCTTTCAGTGTCCCTGGGGTTCTCAGGACCTTGATGGGGTGAAATCTAGCACAAACCCACCCTGAAAACTTGCTGTAGGTAACCACAAGACCTTCCAGATTAGGCTAGGGCTGGGTTAACATGACCAACCTTAAGAATAAAACAGTTTCCAGTATTCATCACAGAAAGCCGCCTGTGTGTGCTGAATCCCCCATCCCGTTTTGCTGTCTATCATGCCACTTGCTTGTGAGCTCAGCTCAGCACAAGCCACCCACAGAGGCTTTGCTCACCAGGTGATACCCTGGATCAGAATCCCCAGGGGCCGCGGCCCTTGCCTTCTAGATGAGGCTTTGTTCTCTCTAAAGGGCAGGCACTCTGTGGCCAGTCTTGGATGTTTTTGCTTAAGAATGAACAGATTCCGAAAGGTAGAATTAAGAAAAAGGAGAGAGTAAGGGCTGAAGGCTGAGTAGGTACAAGTGGGCCTGATTTATCTGCCTTTTGGTCATTTAGTTGGTCTGGGGTAGGCAGAGGACATGATGGGATAGGAGCCCTGGAGCCGTCTGCCTTGTTATGACTGGAGCAGTTTAACATCCTAGTAGTACAGGTGTCAATTTCCAAAAACAGGTCAGCCTGCTGATGTCAGACTTTCCACGGCAGCACTCTGGTGAGATCTGACGGTGTTGGAGAAAAGGCATGCTGAGTCCCGTAACACAGGTGCTGGTTTTTGTTTTGTTTTTTTTCAAAACAGGGTTTCTCTATGTATCAGCCCTGGCTTTGTTCACTAGGCTGGCCCTGAACACACGGAGATCCACCTGCCTCTGCCTCCTGAGTGCTGGGATTCAAGGTATGCGCCACCACTTCCGGCTTGATGACACGCTTTTGAGTGTAGGTTCGTTCATTTTCTTTTCCCCAGTGGCCTCACTCCTAAGGGTGGACACTGAGATTCTGTTAGAAGGAAATGGGCTTCCAAGTTCAGGGATTAGTTTCATTGTTCTGTCTTTGGCCCTCAATTTAGCTCTCCTGAAGCTGGAGAGATGGCATTCTTGGCTTAAGTTTTGATTTAGCTATGGTGAATGGTGCCACCACCCTCTTCTGGCTTCCTTGGGCACCTATGTGCACATACATATAGACACACCGTGCACACACACACACACACACACACACACACACGCACACGCGCGCACACACGCACACACACGTGCACAAACTACACCACACACGCACCTATGTGCACATACACACAAATAAAAAATCTTTAAAAAAAGCCCAACCCAAATACTTGGTAAGTTATTTGTTAGGGCTATGAGAAGTGAATAGCGTGAGACTAGAATGGAGATGCTTTGGTTTAAGTGTGGTCTCTCCCTAAAAGAGAAACATGAGTCAGCACGTGAGAGGGTCAACACTGAAGGCCCAGCCTGGAGGAACTGGGGACCAAAGATGGGTAGGTGATGATGTTGGGGGGAACAGTGCACCACTCCAAGTGAGGCCAGGTAGTCCTTGGGAGAGAGATGGCCGCACAATAGATAAGACTGCCCCCGACACTTAGCTGGAAGCAGACACCCACCTCCCTTTCCTCTTTACAGTGGAATTCGGCCTTGCTCTGTCACAGAATGGAATATCTGTTGGTTGTTTTCTTAAATATATTTCTGACAGTAAAGGTTGGACTGCACAGGGGAGCAGATGGCTTTGATGTGTCCATCTCCATCTCAACAAAAGGACTAAGGCATAAATTACTCTGCTGGGCACCCACATACATGCCCCTTGTCTTTGGGGCTTGTCCTGCGAGCTGGCAGGTGAGATACCTGTCTGCCTCTGAGGTTTAAGGTTTTGAGGGGCCTTGCATGGGCTTCGTTCAGTGCATGCCAAAGAGGGTCCCTCCACAGTGCCCCTACAGGAGCCCTTCTCCCACACATTAGTGAGTGGGAGGTGTGTGCACATGTACCTGTGTGTATGTGTGCATGTGTGTGTGTGTGCGTGCGTGCGTGCGTGCGTGCGTGCGTGCGTGCGTGCGTGTGTGTGTGTGTGTGTGTGTGTGTGTGTGTGTAGGGCTGATGTAAGGAACAGAGGCTCCCCACCTCAGTGCATCTGTGCCAGGACAAGCTGCAGCTGTAAGACAGTGGGTATGGAGAGCCATGGATTTATATCATCCACAGGCTCCCTGTGAGTTGCCTAGCAACCAAAGCAGCTGGGAGGAGCTTCAGAGGAGGCAGGCGGGCAGGAGTGTGTGGGTGGAGGTCACTGCAAGAGAGCTCCGCTGCCTTCTGATGTTTGGAGTACCCAGCATCCTGGCTCTCACCTGCCCATCTAGCACAGTCCTCGGACGGCTGCTTTCACCACTGGCCAGCAGTTGTCACATCAAGCTACACAACTCTGGTTCTGTCTGGAGAACTTTGGGGTCTGTCTGGAGAAGGGATGGCTGTGGCTTGGGAACCAAGTGCAGGGGTGGGGTTATGCTGCCGGGCTATGGAGTCCTGAAACTAGAGGTCCAGATGGAGCGTGCACAGTGGGCTTGTATTTGCCCGCTTCCCCTTGGGTTTCTTCAGAGGTGGGCATGATAACAGAGCCCTAGCACCTTCATGTTTGGGGCAGCAGATTCCCTCCACAGAGCCTGGGTCTTTGAGTGGCCCCTTTAAGTCCTTAGGGATCAGTACTGAGGCATCTCAACCTCTAGGAGAGAAGTTGCGGACACAGGCTTGAGGTCCATCCCACAGGGATCAGGTGTCATCTCTCCAGAGATGAGTTCAACACAAAGTCTACAGGCGTCCTCTTCGCTCCGGCTCTGTGGGGCCACAGGCCTGGGCCTGCACGCTCCTGGACTGGTGCCTGGCCCCGATCAACTCGAAGCCTCCAATAGATGCTCACTCCAGCTCTTTGGGGACGGGTCCCAGTCCAGGCTCCCTCTTGCGCTTGGCACTTTTAAAGAATCCAAGCTGTGGGGAGGCAGAGTTTGGAAAGTCTCAGGGTGGACAGACATGCCTGGCCATGTTTGTGCCGCCTCCTGCCGTTCCTCCACCAGCCCCCTCAGGTTCGCTCCCTAAATACCCCAGCTCATTCTAAGTACCCTTACTCCCAAACTGTGTGGATTGGAGCCAGGTGGGTGGAGTCCTGGGCAGGAGACAAGAAGTCATGCTCTGTCACCCACCCTAGTTAACATCCCTCTCTGGGTCTCCTTCACTTTATCTGTAGCAGAAGGAGACTGAGCCCAGAGTTCTTAACCAGAGCTTCAGAGGAGGAAATTTTGTGCAGTTTTATTGCTTTTTTTTTTTTTTTAAATTTGGTTTTTTTGAGACAAGGTTTCTCTGTGTAGTTTTGGTGCCTGTCCTGGATCTCGCTCTGTAGACCAGGCTGGCCTCGAACTCACAGAGATCCGCCTGGCTCTGCCTCCCGAGTGCCGGATTAAAGGCATGTGCCACTACCTCTTGGCCATGTTTTATTGCTTTTCTTATTTATTTGTTTTCTGGGAAGAGGAACCCCACAGGCCTGCAACTGTAGTTTAAGTGGCCTCTGTGGGCCCTGACTAGTCTCCCTGCCGTGGAAAGGGCTTGGAGTTAGGGGAACAGGCAAGCAGTTGGAGGAGGCTGGGCAGTGCCAGCTTCCAGGGATAAGCACAGGGCCTAGAACTTTGAGGTCAGACAGGGATGCTGTCCCTGTCCCTACCTGTAGGAGGGGCCTCACCTTCCACAGTGCCAGGACTAGCAGGGCCAGCAGCAAGAGGCCTCCCAGAGAACTGCCCACGATGATCCAGATGGGGACCTGCCAGTCTTCTTGCTTGGAAATCTCAAACGTGACCTGCAAGGGGAGGGGGCCAGGCAATACTGTCACAACTGCAGGGCTTGGGCAGGCCAGGGCAGGAGGTGGCACGCCTGCAGAAGGGAGCTGTGTCAGTTCCTTTGGGAGATGTAGGGAGGGACAGGTGGGGGAGCTGGCCAAGGTCTGGGAACAGCCAGCTCTGCACAGCGGACGGCTAACCAGGTGACCGGTCACCATGACCCATGCTCCCTTTGGTGCTAGCTGTCTGCTCCCTGGGTTCTACACACGAGCTAGCCCTCCTGGCTGCTCCTCATTTCCCAGTGTTGGTCTGTTGATGTGCGCTTTCTGAGCCCCAGGGTCACTTGGGGAACTCAGGGCTGTGTACAGGAAGCCTGGGAAGCTAATCGAATTGCCCTTCCTTCCTTCCTTCTTCCCTCCCTCCTTCCCTCCCTTTCTTTCTTCCTCCTTCCTTCCCTACTTCTCTTCTTCTTTTTTTTTTTTTTTTTTTTTTTTTTTTTTTTTTTTTTTTTTTTTTTTTGAGGCAGGGTCAAACTGACCTTAAACTTGCTATGTAGCCAAGGATGACCTCGAACTACCTTTTAAAATAAAAATATTTAAGACATTTTGAATTAAAATTACATTGTCTCCTCCCTTCCTCCATCTCCTTCCTCTGTACCTATCTTGCTGTCTTTTGAAGTCATGGGCCCTTTTTCTTTAGTTTCATTGTTGAGGTGCTGTTTAAACAGCATTTGTTGGGGGGCCCCCTCAGCACCTCGCAGCTTCTCATCTCATTTAGAGGGAAGTGGTCCTCATCCTATTTTGCTGACCTCATCAGCTGCCCTTCACTCTGTGCCAGCCCTCTACCCATGGCCTCCTTCCTCCTGCTTGTACATGCTGCCATGGCGCTCGCTCTTCCCTCTGCCCTTGAGTGACTGGCTCCCCCAGATATCAACGCATGTTTCCATCTCTCCGTGCCTGGAAGGCTGCATGCACCTGACTGAAACTGAGTCTGGTGGTGTCCCTTTGCCAAGGCCATTCCCCTCCCCCCCCCCCCCTTTAATCTTGCCTGTCTGTTAGCTAGCATCTCCTGAGGTGTAGGTTAGGGGGCACTAGCCTTCAGCTTAGAGCGGCATTTCTCAGATATGGCCAGTGGAGGGCAGCAGAGGCCTATGCCCGGCTGCTCCAGTTCCTGGTTTTTCTCAAGAATCAACTTGTTTAGAACAGCAGCTGTCTCCCACAGTCTCACCTCTTTTTCTCTACCTTGAAGTCAAGGTCATCCAGGCTCCTGTGGTTTTGCCTTCTTAAAAAGGAGCTCGGAAACCTCCACCTCAGCCTCCACCCCCACCACACACCCTTCCTTAGAGCTGAGGCTCCAGGCTAGGGGAGGCAAAGGTGGGATGCTAGTCTTGACTTCACCATGCCCAAGACAGCCTCATTAGGGGGCCACCCTTAGGCACACGGGTGTGGGTGTCCAGTCTCAGTGTCCTCTCTGTTCGAGACACACAGGTTCCTTTCATCCTTCCCCACGGCACAAGGCACAGAGCCTGGTGCATCAAGACACTGTGAGGATGCCTGTGTCTGCCCTCTGCCAGTGTGTGTGTGAGTGTGTGTGTGTGTGTGTGAGAGAGAGAGAGTGTGTGTGTGTGTGTGAGAGAGAGAGAGTGTGTGTGTGTGAGAGAGAGAGAGAGAGTGTGTGTGTGTGTGAGAGAGAGAGAGAGAGTGTGTGTGTGTGTGAGAGAGAGAGAGAGAGTGTGTGTGTGTGTGTGAGAGAGAGAGAGAGTGTGTGTGTGTGTGAGAGAGAGAGGGAGGGAGGGAGGGAGGGAGAGAGAGAGAGAGAGAGGGCTTTTTGAGGCAGTCTCTCTTTGGCCTGGAGCTAGGCTAGCTGGTGACCAAGCCCAAGGGCCCGTCTTCATCTCCTGAATGCCAGGATTACAAACAGCCACGCCCGGCTTCCTTCTGTGGGTTCGGAGTGTGGAACTCAGGTCCTCACACTTGCACGGCATGCACTTTGCTGGCTGAGCCATCTCCCCAGCCCCCACCTGGGTTCCCCCCCTCTCCTCCCAGGGGAGGACTCCCTGGGGCTTACCTGGCGGCTGGGGTCCTCCTCTCGGAAGATGAAGGGGCTGTGGAACTGCCTCTGCAAGGCTGCGTTGACTGTGATCTTCATAGATCTGTACTTGAGCTGCACAAACCGGGCTTCCTCAGAGATGGCCCTGGGAGGGCAGCCCAGGTGGGAGCCTCCCCACAGCCACCTCTTCCTCCCCTCCAGCCCTGCTGAAGGGGTCTAACTTACTGTTTTCAGAGACCTCAGCCACAGGTTCCCCATCAGGTAGAAGCTGATTTCCTGGTTGGGGGCCAGCCGCACGTTGCAGATGATAGAGACCACATCGGAATTGCTGTGGTTCTGGAAGAGAATTGTTGGGGGTCAGCATGGGGCTGTGGGGACAGAGCCTGTGACCTGGAATTGGAGCAAGAGCTTGAGCCATCAGACAGACCCCAGCCTGGAACAGTGGGGGGAGAAGCAGATGGCAGGGACAAGGATAGAGGTGGATGTGGGGACAGAAGGGACACCTAGGTACCGACCGACCGAGGAGCTGTATTTGAAGTTGTGCATAATGACCAGTGAACCCTGGGGCCCACATGGTGGGAAGAGAGAAGTGACTCCTGCAAGTTATCCTCTGACCTCCATGTGGGTACCGTGCGAAAACACACACACACACACACACACACACACACACACACATATACACACACACACATACACACATACACACAAATGAAAGAATGGAATGGATGTAAAAAAAACTTTAAGTGCTTCTTGTAAGAAAGTTGTTTGGATAAATAGATAACTCACTGAGCAAAGCTGCTGAGCACATCTAGGAATTCAGAAAGCCCCCTCCCATATTCAGGATATTCCTGTTTTGCCCAGCTGATCCCCCTGCCAGAGCCTGTCCAGTACTAATACTACAGGAAGGTGCCATCAGATACCCTGGCACACGTGGTGCTAGGGATCGAGTCCAGGGCTCCATGTATCACATTCAGCTTAATAAACTATTTAAAAATGTCTTTCACACCAGGTGTGGTGGCTCACGCCTTTAATCCAAGCACTTGGGAGGCAGAGGCAGGCAAATCTCTGTGAGTTTGAGGCCAGCCTGGTCTACATAGTGAGTTCCAGGACAGCCAGGGCTACACAGTGAGACCTTGTCTCAAAAAGAGAATGTTTTCCCACTAGCATGTATTATTACATATTATACTGACCTTTACATACATGCACACAGTGTATTTGGATCATATTCACTCCATGTTACCCTCTCTTGCTCTCTTAGCACTCCTGCCAACTCCTTCCCAACTCCAGACCAAGAAACTATTTTTTTTAAAGATTTATTTATTTATTACGTATACAGTGCTCTATCTGCATGTACACCTGCAGACCAGAAGAGGGCAACAGATCTCACTACAGGTAGTTGTGAGCCACCATGGGAATTGAACTCAGGACCTCTGGAAGAACAAGCAGTGCTTTTAACTGCTGAGCCATCCCTCTAGCCCCCAAGAAACTATTTTTAAATTACATTTTAAAGTGTGTGTGTGTGTGTGTGTGTGTGTGTGTGTGTGTGTGTAGTTGTCAGCTTGGCCGCATGGTCCTTTACCCCCGGGCCATATCACTGATGACTACTCACTCCTCAGTAACTCTCACTGACACACAGTTGGCCAAGAGAGAAGCACCTGGAATGGTGGGGGCACTCTAACCACACTCGTTGGCTCCTCGTGTGGAGACACTCACCCTCTGTGGGGCACGGCTCAGGTCTTCCTCCATTGGGGCACTCCGGTACTCCGTGCTGTTCCCCCAGATGTTACAGGACGTGTTGACCTGTGACACACACACAGTTCTGAACCTCACCCAAGCTCCGCTTTTTCTCCCTCCACCCAGAGAGGCCCAGTGCCCCGGGAGCACCTAGATGATGGGGGAGTTGCTTAGGCGCGCGTGTGTTTCCTTCTCTCTCTCTCAAGCTACCTGGTCGGTGAAGAATTCCCTCAGCATCAGCAGGCGGTTGCCACCCCTGGTGGCGATGGGCACAGTGATCTTCATCATCACCCCATGGATGGGGAAAAAGCCCAGGTTCTGCACCTGCAGCCGGAGGAGAGTCAGCACATGAGCAGTTGAGGGATAGGGACCAGTCAGCCCTGAGGACATGCCTCAGCAGGCTCTGGGTATTAGTACCATAGAAGCAAGACAGTACGGATAGGATGGGTTCTGGGACCCTGGAATATGCTTAGTGGGCCCTGAGCCTGGAGATCAAGGAAGGACCTCTGCTGCCACAGAGTCCTCTTGGCCAGAGGGGACTTGGTGAATACTAAGAATGGAGACGATGTGGTCACTAATCAGGGGAGGATGTCAAACTGAGTGTGTGTTGTCTACCTGGCGGGAACACATTCAGGGGACTTCAAGCTGGGCTTTGGGGACTGAGAGGCTGGTAGATGGCTCTGGGCTTCCCCTGGATCAGCTCTCTGACCTTGAGCAAGATAAGCCATGTGGGTGTTGGGGTGCAGCCCAGTTTTCAGTCATCAACCTATTCCACCCCTCACACAACTTCAGAGAAGCTGACACTCATTTGCGGGGTGAGGGAACCCCGGGTCTTCTGAGGCAGATGCTCTTCCGTGGCTCCCTAACTCTCTGTGACAGAGGCAAGATCAAAAGCCACCCTTCCCAGCTTGCCTCACAGCTAAACACCGTGTTGTGGACGTAAGAGGTAACTGCAGATATGGGATGAAGCTGCTGCTTTTTTGTTTTTTCAAAACAGGGTTTCTCTGTGTAGTCCTGGCTGTCCTAGAACTTGCTCTGTAGACCAGGCTGTCCTCAAACTCAGAAATCTGCCTGCCTCTGATTCCCCAGTGCTGGGCTTAAAGGTGTGTGCCACCACCGCTCTGCTCAAGGAAGCTTTTTACCAAGAAGGGACGTGCTTCTCTCCCTTCCTTACAGCCTGGGCCTAAAGTGTGACGGATGAAGCTGCAGCCATCTTGGGCTGGGAGGTGAGGCTGGCCTTCTCATGTCTGGGATGTTCTTAGATCCTGAATGACCCTGGAAAGCCATCAACTCTTTGTGGAGGGAAGTAAGCCCTGGCATGTTTAAACTGCTGTTCTTGATATTTAGAATCTTTTCGGTACACCCTAATCTCTCCCCCCAGGCCAGCCTGGATATCTTTCACATGAGCGTGAAGCCCAGAGACGGGAAGTAACCTTCTACAAGCTGTGCAGTAGGCCAGTGGCAGAGCTGAGGCTGAGCCCCAGGACCTGCAATGATTCTAGGTTCTTCCCCTCCAACTGGGGTGCGGGGTGTGTGTGTGCTCAGTCCTGCCCTTCACTCCCAGGTGCCCTCCAGCCTTACCTTGAAAACACAGGTGAAGGAAGGCCCAATGCCATCATATCTCTCCAGGGAGCTGTTGGCCTTGACCTCATAGTGGCTCAAGCTGCTGCTCCTGCAGAGACAAAGGAAAAACCACCGTGTGTGGGTAGTCAGTGCTGACCAGATGAACAGGTAGCAGGAGAGAGAGGCAGGCAAGTGGCCACTTCCTGGGACCTCGTGTCTTAGGTGGCCGCTAGGGGCGCTGTGTTGAGAAGAGTTCATAGGCTTTGGTGGAAAGGAGTACTCAGGGCAGACAGCTGTCTGCCGTGTGGGTGGGCATGAGTCTGAGGGTCCCAGGTTGGGCACCCTGGCCTGGCCTCTCTGTCCATGGCAGGGCTTCTTTGCAACCTTACCCCCCCCCCAGTGCCCTCCCACCCCGTGTTTCTGTTATGCCCTCTTTTCTCTGTTGGTGGTGGCGGAGGACTTCCCGGTGGACAGGGGCTGCTTAGGGGGTACAGACTCTTCCTGGTACCCTCTAAGAGGGGAGGAAGATCGGGCACCGTATGGTCTGGGGCCCCGGGTTCCTCCTCAGTGACAAGTGATGTTGAGAATTGCTGGTGCAGTGGTAACAAGAACAGATTGACTCCCTTTCTCCTTCCTCCCCCTCTCCCTTCCTTTCTTTTTTTGTTAGAGACAGAGTCTCATGTAGCACAGGCTGGCTCACTATAGGATACCCTGAACTTCTGATCTTCCTGCCTCTACCTCTGGTATGCTGGGATCCAAGTGCTGGGACTATGGGTATATCTGACTTATGTGGTGCTGTAGGTGGAATGGGGGACTATGGGTATATCTGACTTATGTGGTGCTGTAGGTGGAATGGGGGACTATGGGTATATCTGACTTATGTGGTGCTGTAGGTGGAATGGGGATTTATGCACACTTGGCCAGCACTCTACTAGCTGAGCTACAACCCTAGACTGACTCTACATGTCTCTGGTTTCCAATGCTGTGCTATATCCTCCAGGCTAACTAGCCCTCGGGTTTCTAGATGATTCTCCTGTCTCTGCCCCTAGGAATTGAGCTCGGGTTCCTAAGCTGTCGCAGTGCTTTCACCCAATGAGCCATTTCACTGGCCCCACGTAGACTGACTTCAAAAGAAGATTCACTTTGAATTAGGTGTACATATGTGTCTGTGTGTGGGTCCGTGAATGCAGGGCCTACAGAATTCAGAAGGGGTGTCACATAGCCTGGGACCAGAGTTACCAGTGTGCTTGGGAGCCATCCTGATGTGGGTGCTGGAAACTGAACCCGGGTCCCCTGGAAGCCATCTCTCCAGCCTGCCACACGGACTTTGAAGAGTTCTGTCTTTCACCTCTCCCCCAGCCTTGTGTGCTGGAGGACCTCCTCTCGCCCCCCTCCATGCTTGTTCCGGCTAGCTCAGGCCCCTCCCTCCCTCCCTCCCCCAGAGGCGGCACATCTAACTCACCTGGTAAAGAGGACGTCTGCTTCATATTTGAGGTGGAAGTGAAGGAGGGCCATGTTGTCATCACTGGTGCTGTCCTGTTCATGACTGTCACTATAAGGGGGGTGGGGATCAGAGAGGACCCTGGCACAGGGACTCTAGAAACTGACGGGAGGAAGTGCTGGCTTCTCAGGCTGCTGAGTTATGATTAGGCCGTCAAGGGAAGCCGAGGTGTCTCCTAGAGCGTGGGCCAGTAGGCAGGAATGGGTGCCAGCCCTCTCTGGTAGTTCCTGGTCACCCCCTGGCTGTGCCACCTTCTTGGTGCGCCTCCCCAGCTGCTGTGCTAAAGATGACGAGGGACTTGGGACCGGGAGAGAGATGAGCCTTGAGGAGAGCCACCTACTCTGCCCTGGGAAGAACAGTGGGGTTTACTTCGGGGAGCTCACAGATCCCTGATGGCACAGGGCACAGCTCCCTCAGGACAATGGGTGACTATGCCAGAAGAACCTAAAGGGTGCTGCTCAGAGGCCCCTGGAGGGAGCATGGTCCAAGGTACTTCCACCTAACAGTGAGTGCTCAAATACCAGGGAAGGAACCCACAGAGGTTAAACCCCAGGATTTCGGCTTGTACACGAGATAAGTTCTACTCTCCAGTTCTTCTGGGGCTAGAAAAGGGGTCCTCAGAAATACACTGACATCTATTCCCTTCTTGTCCATTCCTGGTTCACAAATGCCCAGGAACATTGCTGTGTAAGTGTGCTCACTCTTGGTGAGAAGAGGCGCCAACATACGAAAACACTTCACAAACTCTGTCGGGTGTTGGTGAGGAGTCTGTGGACACATGGGCTTTGGTTAAGCATAGCCAGTGGGCAGCATAGGCTGGGGAGGGATGTCCCCAGCCTGCCTGTGATGGGGCAAAGCCACTGATGTTTGCTTTGCCTCAAGGTCTGTCTTTCTTTCTTCCTTCTTTCCTTCCTTTATGTTTTTATTTTTATATTTATTTATTTATTTATTTTGGTTTTTTTCAAGACAGGGTTTCTCTGTGTAGTTTTGGTGCCTGTCCTGGATCTCGCTCTGTAGACCAGGCTGGCCTCGAACTCACAGAGATCTACCTGGCTCTGTCTCCCGAGTGCTGGGATTAAAGATGTGCACCACCACCGCCTGGCTCAAGGTTTTACTTAGCTGAGGATTTTGGCTGCTCGAGGCTTCCAACCACCTAGAAGCCAGCCTGTCCTCACTTCTTTCCTCCCTCCTCACAGAGGTGACTCATGAGAAAGGAATCAGTTTCCCTGGTGGGTGAATCAGGTTCACCCACCAACTTGGAACAAGCCACTTCCAGGAAACCTGAGGGACAGACAGACAGACCCACATAGAGGAAGAAAAGTTCTCTTAAAAATGGAGAAATGCCCAAGGAGAGTGTGATGGTTTGTACTGAAAGTCAATCAGTCAGGGTGGAGAATCACCTCTGGTCCTGGCTGTGAAGGGTTGTCTAGATTGGCTTAACTGAGGTGGGACACCCACCCTGAATGTGGGCAGCACCATCCCCTGGGCTGGGCTTTCTGACTGAATCAAAAGGAGAATTCGATCTGAGTCCAGGATTCACCTCTCTCTGCTTCCCGGATGCAGATGCACAGAGCACCGGCTGCCTCAAGCCCCAGCCGGGATGCCTTCCCCACCATGATGGACTGTGTCTTCAAACTGGGAACCCAGACAAACCCCTCTTCCCTGTAATTGCTGTGTCATGTTTTGTTACAGTGATGGGAAAAGTAACTTAAACTGAGAGAGGGAAGCACTGAAACCAAGAGAGGGACCACAGGGGCACGAGGCGAGGGGTGGGGCTAAGTGTCCAGCTCCCAGTTGTGCTGTTTACACTCTGTGTTGTTGGAAGTCCACGCAACCTCTGCTGACTATGGAGGACTGCTGTGTGGACTGACTGATGGACCCGAGGGGGTTCTAACTGACTGCTGCCTAAATCTCTCTACAGGTTAAGGAACAGCCAGTGCGTCACTTGTGGTGAGCTGCAGGATAGTAGGGGGGTACCCCCCCCCCCCCCCCCCCGCCCCCGGGCTCAGCTTGGGTCAGGGAACAGGTTTGACAGTGGGATGCTGTGGGCACAGTGAGGTAGGGCAGCTGACCTGCCGGCACCCAGCCGGATCTGAAGATGGTGCAGGAACACGGACTTGCTGAACTCGAAGTCCAGACGGAAAGCCACCTGTGGAGAAGCGGGCCTGAGTGGAGGGCACTGGAGGTGTGCTGGCTCTGGCCTGCCTCTGACTACCTCAGAACCCTGCAGAGAATGGCTGGAGCGGGGATGGGGCTGCAGAATAAGTGAACTGGGGCCACCACAGGTGCTAAGACAGCAGCTCCCCCATAGAGGTGTCCCTCCCCCCACTTTTTTTTGGGGGGGCAGAGGGTTATGTAGCCCAGGCTGGCCTCAAACCTGCTGAGTAACCAAAGATAGACGTTAACCCCTAATCGTCTGTCTCCACCTCACGAGTGTTGGGGTTACAGGCATGCCCCAGGGCTTTGGCATGCTAGGCCAGCACTCTCCCAACTGAGCCCCAGCCCCAGCAAGGAACTCTACTTAGAACTCCCCACAAGCCTCCCCCTGCTCCCTGGGCCTCTGTGTGTTCCCCCGCTCTAGGTCCCAGTCCTGCCCCTCCCTCCGGCCCCCGGTCCCCACCTTGGCCTTGGCCCTGAAGAACGGGTAGCTGACGTTGCAGACTTTCTTGTGCGGCCGCCTCTCCTCGTTCACACACTCGATGCTGTTGTCTGACTCATCCTGGGACGGGCAAGGCAGCGAGAACCAGTCAGGGCCAGTCCTGGGGCTCACTGCATGCCCTCTGCAGCCAGCCCCTCACCCCACCCCAGAGATCACCCAGCCACTGGCCACCCACACCTGGAATGCTACTGACTGCCTGAACCACGGAGGGCCTGAGGCTGAGGCCAGGTGTAGGTGGTTCAGAAGGCACGAGGTGACACAGGGAGGGTCTCACTGAATGTTCAGGTGTATGCCGCGTGTCCCCTGTGTCTGGGGAACGCGCTAGCTTCACTCGGGCTGTGGACAGTGGCTGGGCTAGGATTCTAGGATTGGCACTTAGTCCAAAAGGTTGGAAGCCACTCCCCAGGCTCCGACCTCTCTGCCTCCTCAGGCTCTGAGGCTCTCTGAGTGGCCATGCAGCTTTTTTTTTTTTTTTTTTTTTTAATGGAAGAGAGGTCCTGGAGCCACACAATTATATTGCCTGGACTCCAGCGACTTTGTGTGGACAGCACTATTCCATATCTGGGGTCCTGGGCTGGATAACGGAGGAAACAAGCTGAACACTAACATTCATTTCCCTGCTTCCTTGTGGACACAGTAAAATCAGCTGCCCCACCATCCTGCCATGATGGACTGTTTTCCCCCGACCATGCTACCACGTCCTCCCAAGGAGTCTGTGTTGAACGTGCATTGAGTGTCAACATGAAGCAGGGGGTTGTGAGGGAGCAGGACACAAGTAGAGGTAATCCCAGGAAGGCCCACAGTAAACAGAGGACCCAGGTGGGAATGGACAGGGCATCCTGGGAGGCAGTGGTGACTTGCGCAGGTGTGTGTGTGTGTGTGTGTGTGTGTGTGTGTGTGTGTGTGTGTGACATCAGGGTATCAGGGTAAGAGAAAAAGCAGGTGGAGACCTTGAATGTGACAATTAGAGATTTGTCATGAAGGAGAGAGGAATAATGGGGGTCTGATCTTTGTGGGTATGTACACATTGGTGGCACATGCATGTGTGCGTGTGTGTGTGTGTGTGTGTGTGTGTGTGTGTGTGTGTGTGTGTGTGTGTGTGCTCCCAAGTAGGGGGCCAGGGTGGCATCCTCAGGTGTTCCTCCCACAGTCTGAAAAGATGCAGGTGTGTGTATGTATGTGTGTGTGTGTGTGTGTGTGTGTGCTCCCAAGTAGGGCCAGGGTGGCATCCTCAGGTGTTCCTCCCACAGTCTGAAAAGATGCAGGTGTGTGTGTGTGTGTATGTGTGCTCCCAAGCAGGGCCAGGGTGGCATCCTCAGGTGTTCCTCCCACAGTCTGAAAAGATGCAGACTCCCTGGTTACCACAGTTCCCAGCTCTGGATGCATGCTGAAGCCCAGAGGGAGCTCTCAGAGCTACCTACATACAGACCACTACTGAGGACCCCCAGAGGAGGGACAGGACCCAGCTCTGTCAATACCACCTTTACTCCTCGGCCCTTGGCCTTGGCCGGCTGGCCAAGCAGCCGGGGTCCTACCTTCTGGATCAGGCTGGCAAACTGCAGGTTTTCTGACTGTGAGATGTTGAGGACAGTGCTGTAGGCATTCTCCCCTCTGTTCTCCAGAGTGGCCTCCACTGCCACCCGGCGACGCGTGCTCTCTATGATGAAGACGGTGGTGTCGAAGGACAGCGTGTAGGTGGAGCAGTCCTGTGCACTCTTCCTCAGCACTCGCTGGCAGTACTCCCTGTGGGAAGAGGCCGCCGGCTATCAGGCAGGCAAGATGGAGGATGAGGGCTGGAGCTGAACCTCAGGACTGGCACGGAGATAGGGGAATGGGGCACCTGGCCAGCCTCTGCCCATGGGAACAGCCACGGAGAGAAGGAGGCGGATGGCGGGCCTGCAGAGAGCTGATGCTTGCAGCCTACGACCTGCACCAAAGCCCCCTGCCCTCCAGTCACAGGCTGTACCTGCCTCAGCTCTCTCATTTGATGGCACTAGTCACACATGATCATCTCACTTCCCTTTTGGTTTTGGCTACCAGGAAGCTCAGTGCTAAATCTTGATTACTTACCTAGACAGGTAGCATATTCCTTTATCCTTCTATCCTGTTTGGATGTGCATACCCTGACATTTACATTTTTATCTCATTACATGAAAGTTAAACAAAAATTACTGTAAGTTTTGTTTTGAAAGTTAAAAATGAGCTTATAAGCTGGGCGGTGGTGGCTCATACCTTTGATCTCAGCACTCGGGAGGCAGAGCCAGGTGGATCTCTGTGAATTTGAGGCCAGCTTGGTCTACAGAGCAAGTTCCCTATTTTACCCGTGTGCAAGTCTGTTTCCCCCAGGGGATTGTGGGTACTGTGTTTGGCCATGCCACGTGGAGGGCAGAGGACAATTTGAGAGTTGGTTCTCTTCTTTTACCATGTAGGTCCAGGGGTCAAACTCAGACCACCAGAGGCAAGCGCATTTACCCATGAGCCATCTCGCCAGCACCCCCTTAGAATCTTTCCCTTAGAGGGACTAGAAAGCCCTGGTGGTCGGTCAGCTGGGGAACTCCATACCTTACCAGGGTCAGGGGTTAGAGGACAAGACCAGAACTCGGGTTCATCTGTCTCCGCTTTCTCTATCTTGTGTCATTGTTCTTTGCTTGTTTGTTTTTAAATTTACTTAATACATGTGCACATGTATTTCTCCTGCATGTATATCTGCATACCGTGTGTAAGCCTGATGCCCATGGAGGCCAGAAGATGGCATCATAGGCCTTGGAACTGGAGTCACAGATGTTTGAACTGGGTCCTCTGAAAGACCCAGTTCTTAACCACTGAGCCATCTGTCCAGTCCTGTTTGTTTGTTTGTTTTTGACAAGGTCTCTTCTCATTCTGGCTGGCCTGGAACTCACAGGTACCTGCTTGTCTCTGCCTCTCCAGTAGTGGGGTTAAAGGTGTGAGCTCTCCTCTCCACTTGCTGAGCGGGTCTCAGGTAGCCCAGAGTGAACCTGAGATCACTAGGTAGCCAAGAATGCCTTGGATTTCTGACCACTCCCCCAAGTGCTGTCCCTAGGCACGGGCCGTCACGTGTACTTGATGCTCTGCTCGGGCTTGAACCCAGGGCTTTGTGCATGCTAAGCAAGCACTCTTCTCCACTGTGCTCCAGCCCTAGCGCCCTGGCTTCACTTCCTGTCTGTTTAGCAGCTTGGGCTCCAGTGGAGGAGGTTCCATCCTCGAAGAAGCTGGAGAGGTTAGCGTAGACTAGCGATGCTCATTTCAACAGAGCAGCTGAGGCCCGCAGAGAGGGAGGGGACTTGCTCTATCTATCTAAAAGCAGTTGCACTGGGACAATCCAGCCCTGAGGAGCTCCAGGCCACCAGCAGAGAGGGGTCAAGGCGTGTGAGGCAGGGAGCCACTCACATGGCGGTGGGCAGGTCACTCCGAGCATCCAGGACAAGGTCGGGGACACAGTGCTCATCCTCATTACAGCCGTTCCAGAAGGGCACCTGCAGAGAGAGCCATGCGGGTGACTGGAGAGGGAACCGTGGCCTCCAACCCTGGAATCTAGAGCCCCAGCCTTTGTCTCCCCACACCAGACGGGGCTCTGCCTGCCTTGCCATCCCCCCAACACACCTCCTTGCTGACTCCTTCACCCCTGCATAGACCCTCCCTGCTCTAAGAGCGAGCACTCAGCCAGGCTGGCAGCACAGGCTCCCTCTCCCAGCAGCACAGTTAGTTCCAGTCAACAGAAACTGCCCATCTGTTGTGGGTAAGGCGCTGGAGAGGTAGGCTGAGAACCACACGGCATCTGCTCTTGCGTGGTGGGGATGACGGACGTGAACTGGCAGCTGTAGTGTGCAATGTGCAAAAAAGGGCAGAAACATGAGGACCAGAAGCGGCAGAGGGAGCACTGGCTCTCTGGGCCTGTCTCCGTTCAGGGAAATTTTCAAGGTGGTGACAAGGGGTCAGAGTTCCGAAGCGCAGCCAGGAAAGCTGGATGCACCAGGGGGCTGGGAAGTACAGAGGTCCTGAGGCTGAATGCAGGGAATGACTCCACAGTTCAGCCCTGTGTAGAGAGAGGCCAGGCGGAGGGGAGGCAGAAATAAGCAGCCATCCGTTCCCACGAGGCTTTGGGTCACTCATCCCTTTGTACCTGAAGAGTCAGAGAGCACTCTGGCGAGGGAGGGCCCTGCTGGACAAGCATGCTAAGGGAGGTAGGTGGATGGACTGGGAGGGGCCAGGCTGGAGGCAGAGAGACCTGGGGGACTGGCTGTGACACTCAGGAGGGATGAGGATGGCATAGGCTTGCCTAAGGTCTCAGAGGTGGGGTTACTAGGACCTAGAAGCTCTTGGGGCTGAGGGAGGGCCCCGGAGTGTTACCCGATTCTTTTTCACATTCTGCAAGGTAGACAGCACCATCCATTCAGAACCCTAAGATAGGGTTCAGGAGCTTGGCTTTGGGGGGGGGGTGCCCTGTGGCTCATCTGCAGCACAGCTCAGTAGAAGCTGGGTGCCGAATCCCAGCTCAGTGACAGTCACGGCCATCGTCAGGGATGCAGTCTTGACCGGGAAGGGGTCAGAGGTGGGGTGGGGTGGGGGACAGGAGATCTGGTCTCATTCTCAAAAGACAGACTGGGCCCTCGTTTTGGACACACTGTTAGAGGGACCCAGTCTATACGAAGACACTGTATACTCTTCACTAAGCCTGGGCTGGGGTCCTGGTGGTTCAAGTCTCCAGCCAGCCATTCAAGGGGCTGGCAGAAGACAGCCAGTCCTCAGAAGTTCCAGCCAGGTGGTGGAGAGGGATGGCTACTGCACTCAGTGTTACAAACTGGCTGGACCCAGGGTCTTGTGTAGTCTAGGCTGGCCTGGAATTTGCTATGTAGCTGACAATGACCTTGAACTTCTGATCTTTCACCTCCTGAGTGCTGGGATTGCAGGCCTGTGCTGGAGAGGGAACCTAGGGCACTGAGCATGCTAAGCAAGCCCCCTGACAACTAAGCCACACTCCCCAGCCCCCAGCTCCCCATGAACCGAGTGTGGAGGTGTACACCTGTAACTCTAGAACTCAGGTGGTGCCGACACGACACACTCACGACTCTGGCTCTACCTACCCTTCACCTTGACCCTACTGTATCTCCCTCCCTCCCTGGAGACACAGCCAGCTTTCCTGCCTTTAAAGCAGGTCCTCCCCAGCTCTGAACTCTGAGTCCTGACTCCTCTAAAGTCAAGCCCAAAGCTGCCTCCTGCAGGAAGTTCCCTGTCCACTATCTGGGGTGGCTCAGGTCCTCCATCTCGACCTGGGATCAGGATCCTGGGGGCATCAGGGTCCTGGCCTGGGTGACTGCACACGACTCTGCCTCACGGGCTTCACGAGTGAGCTCTGTGCACTCATTCATTCTCTTGAAAGCAGGCTTTGTAATTATGGTGTTAGGAAAGTCAGTGACTGGAAACAGCTTCCCCTACCAGTGACTCACTCGGGAAAGAGGGACAAGGAGAGCAGACAGGCTTGGTGGGAGGCTGGGAGGGGCTGTGGGAGTGTGGGCAGGACAGAGGGACACTCTGCCTCTGACCCGACAGTCCTATCCCAGTGCTGGAGAAATAATCCTAGCAAGCACTTCGAGGCTGCGGGCTGGACTTCGCTTGAGTGCCTGGACTTCAGAAGCTCCAGGTTTCTGAGTGCTGAGATGTGATTATCTTCTTCCTAACTCTTAGGGCCCAATGTCGCCTTCTGTAAATCCTGCCTGCTCTCCTAGTCCACTTAGACAGAAATGAGGAGACCTTCTTGGGTGGACTTTCCAGGGAGCAAGCACCCCAAGTTATTAACAGGGGATCCAGGTGCTCCTAGAGCTGGAGGCTAGAGGGTGCTGAGGGGCGGGGTCTCTGCCACTGGCAAAGAGGAAGCTTTCCTTTGAGATATTTAGTAGCAGGTAGGGAGAGTCCATCACTGTTAGTCACTCAACAAACACAGAAGCTAGCTCACAGTGGCCGAGTCCTCTTCTGCAAATGAGGGAGCGAGAGCCAGAGATCACAGGTCTCTTCTGGGGCTCTGAATTTCCCCAGGAGCCTCAGAGCTTCCCTGTGCAGAGGACATGGGAACCCCGCAAAGGAGGCGCGGCCTGCCTTTACTAGCTGTGGTTCTCTGAGGACAGGAGACAGGAGGGTGAGGGAAGGACCCCTCTGTACTCATCACACTACGGGTGTGGAGGCGGGTGTGTTTGGCGGAGGCGCGGACGCACCGACACTCTGAGCGTGGTGGGCCAGCCATGATCTAGCATGGGGCCGCGGTCGGGGTCCTCTAGGGAGTACTCCACAGAGAAGGCCACTGGCTTCACGTAGTCGGCCGTGTCCTGTGGGGAGAGGAGGGCAGAGTTCAGAGAGGGGAGCGTACCACTTCCTGGACCACAGCTCCAGACACAGAACTTCCACCCCTCCAGGCTGGGAGGAACGCAGCCTGTGGCCCTCAGGGTAAGCCACTTGGTGGACAGTGGTTCCTGTCAAGGTCTGCAGATGGAAAGTGCGTGCCAGGTAGGAAAGCGTATGCCACTTCAGTGTTTTGAAGTTTCACCACACTCCTGTCCACCCTTCAAAGACCCAACTCTCCATGGCTCAAATACGTTGGTCCTTGAGGAAGCCTGGCAGGCACCTTCCTCCCCGCTCCAGATCTGTTCCTGTGGCTTCTCCCATGGCACTGAAGCCAGATTTTGCTTCACTCTATAGCCCAGGCTGGCCCCAAACACAATCTTCCTGCCTCAGGCTCCCGAGAACTGGCATCACAGGCATGTACTACCATGCCCAGCTAAAAATACACCTGTGTGCTGACTTTCTTCCCTAGCAAGGAATAGTCTAAAAACTTCTTAGCATGGCCCAACCATTATGATATGGCCTTATAATGCTGAATGAATGAATGAATGAATGAATGAATGAATGAACGAACGAACATGAGCGAACATGTGAACAAGGCAAGGAGATTCGGTTTGTCCTGACTATGGATGACAAATGACAGGTGCACTCCAAGATGTCTAAAAGCACCTGTGCCCTGGAGCTGTGGTCAGCCCACTTGGTATTTCTGTATGGAGGGTTTCTCATTCGGTGATGGGCACCAGGCTGCCACCTCTCTTGGGATGTCACTGGCCCAGGTGCCCATGCCTCTGCCTGCCTTACCCGGTCTTCATCTCCAGCCTACCCTGTTGTTCTGACTTTCTAGCCCTGGGTGGTAGTCCACTCTTTCCCTCATCTCCGCAGATGACCTCACCTCCCTGATTTCATCCCTTCTAGATGTGACCGTCGGGAAGGCAAGGATTTGTGGTACAGTGGGCAGTATAGCCATGAGGGCTTTTATCTGGGTCCTGAGGAGGGGTACTGGCCAAGGCTGGCCACACTGCTCTCCGGCTGTCCACTGAGGGCACGGACCTGGCCTAGCGCCAAGGGGGCTCTCACTTCCTACAGCTGTTCCTCCACCCTGTACCCTTCTTGTAGGGCTTAGGGTCTGCTCACAGGCTGCTGGGCTCACCAGGACGTGGAAGTTGATCCTTTGGCAGTGTTCCTGGCCAGAGGAGAGTAAGACAGCCCTGTTGGTGAACTGGTCTCCACCCTCGTCCAGATGTGCCCGTGGCATGTACCGCCTCTCGTCCATGGTGGCATTGTACCTGATGCCTGGGAGAGAGGAGGACAAGACCAAGCCAGGGCTTCATCCCCATCCCAGACTGTTCACCGTTTAACCTCTGGGCTGGCCTCATCCCTCACAGGCAGCTGGAAGCTACAAGCTTCCATATTGGGAGCAAGAGGTATGGTATGGAGGAAGGAGCTGAAGAGGAGGAGGAAAAGTATAAGACCAGTGGGAGGGAGGGAGGGAGGGAGGGAGGGAGGGGGAGGGGGAGGGGGAAAGGGGTAGGGAGGGAGGGAGGGAGGGAGGGAGGGAAGTGAGCCTGGCAAAGAGGAAAGGGATGGGGCAAGGCTGATGTTGCTCAGGACTGCTGACCAGTGTCCTCAGCCCTCCCTCCAACACCCTGCCTCACACCACCGGCCTGGGCCTTTAGGAGCGTCTCCCAGGGGCTGCTCATGCTAGGGGTGCTCCTCAGACCCATGTCTGTGTTCTGTGGCCTGAGGCCCACAGCCTCTCTCCTTTTAGCCCACAGAAATCTGGCAGTCAGGAAGGGCACAGTGTCTCCTGTCCCCCAAGCAGCCCTCTGATGGCTGTAGTCCTGAATCTCCGTCATAGATGGAACTTCCGAGAAGAGTGCCCGGCCACCAGACCGGGATGTGTCCTCACCCTCCCCCCTTTTTCTTCTTCATCTGGTTTTGTGCCTCATCACTGGAAGGGATGCTACCCGTGGTCTCTATCGCACCTGTCACTTCCAGGGCTGTGTGGTCCAAGAAGCAGGGACCTAAATCTAACCTGAGGTAAAAGGAGAGGACCCTTCCCAGGTCCATGCTCCTGTTGGTCCCCAGCTCCCCACTGCTGGCTCCAGGTTGGCTCCCCAAGTCTACCTGACTGACTCCCGGCCTCCTCTCTGTAGTCTACTGCCTGCCTTTTGTATCCCATTCAAAACATGCCCAAGCAATGTTCTTCTGTCCCTGTTCATCAGCTCTGCCCACTACCACTCCTGCTCTGCCAGGAATCCCTTGAAAGGAGAGCATCAGAGGAGAATCCAGCGGGCACTGAAGGTGCCCCAGGGTGGTGGCCTGGCACTTAGAACCCATTTCAGGAAAGCCCCAGTCTGTGAACCAGAACAATCACAAAGCCCACAGAGAGACTGGAGTGGCTGGTGGCCCAAGGAGGCTGGTTTACCGACGGTCGCTGTTTGGAAGTGGGGTGCCAGGAAGATGGGCACGAAGCAGAGGAAAGCAGCCAGACAGGTGGCATCCCTGCCATTGCGCTTGCAGTCCTTGTGGAAGATGTTGATCTTGGACGGCTCGAAGTGGAGGCTGGCGTTGATCTGAACCACCGGGCGGGCCCTGGAGAAGACAGGCAGGTGAGCTCGGAAGGGCTGGAGTTCTCACTGCCTCGCTGGGACCCAGGGACAGAGGTACAGACTCAGATGGGAGTGGAGTCTGTAAGACCTCCCTAGAGGACATGGTGTGGTGGGTGGGGCAGAGAGACCTCAGGAAGCTACAGGATGGATTGGCCAAAGAGAGAGGGTGGATTTCCCTTCATCCTTCATGTCTGGTCCAGCATGTATTGGAAAACACTGGAGAGAGAGGGGCTGGGGAGACGGCTCAGGGGTTAAGAGTACTGGCTGCATTTCCAGAGGACCCGTGTTTGATTCCCAGCCCCCACACGTGTGTCAGCCCACAACCATGTGTAATTACGGTTCCGGGGGTCTGACACCTGCTTCTGGCCTGCATGGACACCAGTGTACGCATGCTGCACAGCCATACATACAGACCAAACACTTATGAAACATAAATTAAAAAGAAGAAAGGAAGTACTGTGAGCTGGACCGGCCCAAGGCTTTCTCAGAGGCTCTTACCAAAGGACAGAAGGAACCAGCTCTGTGTCCTGGCCCAGGAACAGACTTGACAAGGCCAGTCTGGGGCTGAGGCCAGAGCGTTGAAGGAGTTTCCGGTACTGGGAATTTGGCTTTCCCCCGGAAGAGGCTGTGTGCTCTAATGCTCTTGAGGTACCGCGGGCTCCTTTTGTGCAACATTGCTTGACTAGCTTCCCACACAGACTTCATCCCATTATGTGATAATTTCTGCTGACTTCGCCCCCCCCCACCCCCCCGGAAAATAGGGTAGAAAACACTATGCTTCTAAATAAGCTTGCTCGGCATAAGCCACAGCTTGTGAAAGACCTCCCGATCCCAAACGTATCGGTCCCTTCATCTTCTGATCCCCTGGTCCTCTCTCTCAGCACTGAAGAGCAATCTGTTGGTCCAGATCAGGAAGGAACAGTGGAGCAAAGCAAAGAAAAAAGGAAAAGAAACCCCACATCTGGTGCAGAGCATGGAGCTCAGCTGGCAGTGCACTTGCCCAGCATGCGTGGAGCTTGGGGTTAGACTCCCAGGGTCATGTAGGCCAGGTGTGATGATGAGATGGAGTCAGGAGACTCAGGAGCTCGAAGCCACCCTCGACTTCACAGTGAGTTTACAAAGCAACCAACAAACGAGGAATCCCATGCCAAGGCTGCACCCCAGGTCGCACGAACTGAGTGAGACACGAGTGTGTTTTAAAGCTGTCTCTCAAGTTTAATCTGCACACAGCACTACCTCCTACAGATACCTTGTTACAGCACAGGTCCAATGCTGTCAGTTGGCATGGACTCCGCAAATCTAATGGGCTCTGGAGTGAGGTTGAGTGCATGGTGCATGGAGCACACTGAGAGGGAAAGACTGGAAGTACAGCCAGACGCGGAGAGTGTCAGCGTTTAGAGGATGGAAAGCTGACTGACTTCTTTTTCCTTCAGATTTTAAGTTAGTGCGGAAAACCCTAAATAATGAAATTGATCTTATCAGTGTATATTTAAAAAGCTCCAATCAGCCTGGCATGGTGGTATAATGCCTTTAACCTCAGCAGAGACAGATAAATAGGTGAATCTCTGTGAGCTCGAGGCCAGCCTGGTCTATATATTGAGTTCCAGGCTAACCACAGCTACATTCTAAAAGCAGTAGTACACAAGAAAATGCAAGGGCTTTTCTAAAACAGTGATGTGGAAACACACACACACACACACACAGGAAATGAAGTCAGAGGGGTTGGAAGAAAGAAACCCCTGCATTCCACATCCATTCTGTGTTGGAGGAGGAAAATGCCTTCTAGAGGAGGAGGCTCAGTGCTCCCTCTAAGTAGCTTGGGAGGCAGCCGTGAGAGAGATGCTGTAGGGGCCAGAGTGTAGGAAAAGTTCTGGGGGGTTGGGGAGGGACAGAATTTGGACCTGAAAGTGGTCAGAAGTCCTCGAACTCTATTGAGAACAGAGATTAGGACTCCGAGATCACACGGGATGGGAGAGGTTCAGGATTAATTTGGACGACAGTGGTTAAAGTCAAGAGGCAAGGTCCCTGAAGCAGATTTTTGAAAGTCTCTACTCAAGCAACCCTCAGGGAAGCCCTCTAGTTGTAGAAAGGAGAGGAACGAACCACAAAACCACAGCATTGCCCAGGGCGCCCACTGCTAGGTCCACAAGCCCATCCTCATTGAGGTCCAGTTGTCCGTGGATGCTGCAGCCGAAATGCTGCAGCCCGGGAGCCAGCTCTGAGGCTGCGATTCTCTGCAGGGAGAGGAGAGAAAGGCTGTGTGTGCTGTGAGCCCAGGTTAGCTCTAGAGGGGACAGACACAGTTCTGAGCTCTGAGAACCTGACGGTTGTCTCATGAGAGAAACCCCCACCTTTAAAGTCACTGCTTTGGATGAAAATATTATGTCTCAGAATATTCCCCAGCAAGGTTTGGTGGCTCACACTTACAATCCCAGTGCTTGAGAAGTGGAAGTAGGATCATGAATTCAAGATGAACACAGGCTACACAGCAAGACCTTGGCTTGAAAATCCAAGGGCTGAAGGTGTAACAGAGTGGTTAAGTGCTTAGCTGGAAGGTGCGAGGCCATAAGTTTGATCCTCAGCACCACAAAAAAGAAAGTATTTGGTGAATGTCAATGTATATCACCTGGCAGATTACAAATCCACTGGAGTTTCTACCTTGGTGTATTTATTTGACAGTCTTACTAGTAAAATGTGTAGGCAAATTCTCTAGACTGGATACAACTATTTGGATCATCAGTTCACAACTGTAGTTACTTGCACTGGGCTCTGTCAGCAGTCAGGGAAGGCAGAGGGGCTCCCGGGGCCCCACCATTTACTGCTGAACCATGATCTATTGATAGATTCTGGGAGAGGGACTCGTTGTCTTTTGTTGTGTACCTACTGGTGAGCCATGGTGAGCCACCAGGCTCCAGCACACAGCTCCCATGTCACAGAGATGGCCCTGGTAAATCTTAGCTGGGGTTCCCAAAACAAAAGGAATAGATATGTATGAGTGAGAGGAGTGTGTGTGTGTGTGTGTGTGTGTGTGTGTGTGTGTGTGT